ACACCAGCACCCGTGTGTGAGCCCACCACAAGCTCAGGGAAGGCTCTGGCAGTAGTAGCCCACCAACACGTGGGACCGATGTCCCCTATAAAAGCCACCTGTCTCTAACTTGTGAGCTGTACGAGTCCATTTTCCCTTGGCCTTATAGACCGTGTAGTTAACAGTGACTGGCAGGCTTGGGCCAGACGCACCTTCACTTTCCCCATCAGGGCCTCCAGTGTCCAGGGACCGCCACCGCTCCTTGGCTCGGGCCAGGCAGATGTCGAAGAGCTCTGCAAAAAAGGTCCCTGTGAGCCTCTGTGCTCAGGCACCGGACGCAGCCCGTCACAGGTGGGGTCCGGGAGCCCCCGTGCTCAGGCACCGGGATGCAGCCCGTCACAGGTGGGGTCCAGGAGTCCCCGTGCTCAGGCACCGGACGCAGCCCGTCACAGGTGGGGTCCGGGAGCCCCCGTGCTAAAGGACACTGGGACGCAGCCCGTCACAGGTGGGGTCCGGGAGCCCCCGTGCTAAGGGACACTGGGACGCAGCCTGTCACAGGCCTGCTTGCCCACAGCACAGGAGGCCTGGCACGGTCTGGAGCCATCCCAGAATGCCATACCTCAAGGGGAAAGTGAGGCCAACAAGGCATGCCCCTCAGGGCCGTGGTCAATATGGAGTAAGACCATGCAGGTCAAGCACCAAATCCAAAGCCTGGCATCATGACCCAGAAGTCAAGGGCACCGTGTCCGTGCCGGCCCGAGCACAAGCCGAGAGGGAGGGGGGCCTGCCGCCGTGCCGGACACAGGTGAGGGAGGCGAGGACACAGCGGGTGAGCGCCGGGTGAGGGCGCCTCGGATGCTCAGGCTGAGGCCAGTGGGGCACGGGACCCCACACAGGTGACCACACAAGACCCACTGGAAAGAAAACGGGTCCTATGGAGGATTCCACAAAACCCTCACACCAGACACGCTTCAGCAGCTGTTCAACCCCATCCACCACCGCGAGGTCCGTAGAAGACCTCACAGATTTCTTGTCAGTCGATGACCCAGGCCCACAGGGGGGCCTATCGAAGCCCACAGGCTGTGCCTGCAGAAGCAGGGCTGCGGTAGGCACAGAAACCCTGAGAACAGCTGGCGTGAACATCCAGCAGTTTCTCTAAACCGCTCCTTCCGGAGACACCTCTCCACCAGCCACGTGGCACGTAAACACGCTCCGACACAATGGGCAGGTGTGGACTTGTGGAGGGGCAGCACTCTGAGGAAGCTTCTCTCTGTCCCTCAACACTCCTCCCTCCCCATCACCATGCGACCGACCCACAGCGTCAGGCGCTCCAGGGGTGGGCCACCGTGTGTGGGAGGAGCTCCCGTACAGAGAATGGGGAGCCCACCTCCCGGCTGCGACACCGAGGACAAGGAGCCCCTCTCCCGGCTCCAATGCCCAGGACCGGGCAGCCCCTCTCCCAGCTGTGACACCAAGGACGAGGAGCCCCTCTCCCGGCTCCAAAGCAGCCCCTCTCCCGGCTCCGATGCCCAGGACCGGGCAGCCCCTCTCCCAGCTCTGACACCCAGGCCTGGGGAGCCCCTCTCCCAGCTGCGACACCCAGGACAGGGAGCCCCACTCCTGGCTCCAATGCCCAGGATGAGGAGGAGCCTTTCCCAGCTCCGACGCCCAGGACCGGGCAGCCCAGCCTCCCTCCCGGCTCTGACGCCCAGGACCAGAGAGCCCTTCCGTGTGGCTCAGGCTTAGAGAGGGAAGCAGATGAGGATGGCTGAGCGAGAAGCATGTCACTGCGCCCTTTCACACCTCAGGTCAGTGTTGCTTTGGCTGCCGGGCTGGGAACCCAGGAGCTCCACAGGGTGGAGGAGGCGTACGTACAGATGCACACGTAGGAAAGAGGATGAAAGCTGGCATGTGCTTCACCCCCGGACCTCATGCAGCTGGGACCTGAGCGACCCACCCTAGAAGATCCCCAGACCTAGGGGACCCCCATCCTGGAGACTCTCCAGTCCCCAGGGACCCCCAGACATAAGAGACACCCCTGTCTCGGAGGACCCCCAATCCTAGCACAGTACGTGGTCCTCTCTAGGCACTTAACACCAGCTACCTGGAAAAAAAGAAAGGAACACCAACAGGCGACAGGGCCGGCAGACGCTCCACAGACGGGGGCCTCCCCCTGCCGCATGCCCTCACCACTCCACAGGCCATTCTGACAAGGGGGCCTGACGCAATCTGGCCGGACGCCTGGGGCCCCACAGCCACTGATCCCCATCCACGTGGGAAGACGTGGGCCCCAGGAGGAGGGTGAGGCCTCTGCTCCCTACCACCAGCCAGAAGCCTGAAGATCATCTGCTGTCTCTCCCCTCGGTGGGCAGGCGCAGTTGGTTCTTAAAGATGTGCTAAGCGGCAGCTGTGCTCCTGAGGGGGCGGGGGGTGCTCACCGTGGGTGATGTTCAGCTCATTGCCAATGGCCAAGCTCCAGACTCTGCCGCGAACGCTAGGCGGGATGCCTTGCCACCACAGGTCCCGGACTTTCCTGGAGCTCCACCTGGACAGGAGAGGACTGTGAGTCTCTGTTCGACAAATGCTGGCCTGGAAGCAGGGATGCCTACTGTGAGTCGGAGCTCAAGGCCCAGCGTTCCAGAGCTGGCACGCTCCAGGCAGAGAGCAGGGGCAGCGGTGGCCTCAGACTCACACCCAGGGAGGGGGCTCCACCAAAGGAAGGGAGGAGACAGGGAGACTGCAGGGGCAGGCCACTCACACGGGCCTGTCCTCTAAGCTCAGAATGCCAAGGCCACACTGAGAGTCTTGGCCAATTACGGAATGCTCAATAGGGAAGGGCTTAGACGAACCTCTGTGTGGGGGAGGATCGGGAGGGGGTGCATCCAGGACGGTCAGAGCAGAGCAGCGAGGGGCAGGGCAGCTGTGCAGCCCCCTCCTTGTGATGCCACTGCAGGCAGTGATGTGAGCGGCCACGAACACAGCCACTGCCGCCACCCCCACGCAACACCTGTTCACTCACATGGTCTCCCAGTTGAGCAGGACCTCATTGTTCCCGGTGAGGACCGTATTCCCGCCCCACATGTCCCACCCGCACACTCACATGGTCTCCCAGTTGGGCAGGACCTCGTTGTTCTTGGTGAAGACCATGTTCCCGCCCCTCATGTCCCACCCGCACACCCACATGGTCTCCCAGTTGAGCAGGACCTCACTGTTCTGTGTGAGGACCGTATTTCTGCCTCACGTGTCCCACCTGCACATTCACATGGTCGCCCAGTTGGGCAGGACCTCGTTGTTCTGGGTGAGGACCGTATTCCCACTCCACGTGCCCTACCCGCACACCCACATGGTCTCCCAGTTGAGGAGGACCTTGTTGTTCTGCGTGAGGACCATATTCCCACCCCACGTGCCCCACCCACACACTCACATGGTCTCCCAGTTGGGCAGGATCTCGTTGTTCCAGGTAAGGACTGCATTCCCGATGCTCTCCTCCAATCGGCACCTCTCCTCCATCTGCTTCTTCCGCCGCTGGGCGTCTCTAAGTTCTAGATGCCATGCCGGAAACGAGAAGAAAACTGCCATTGGTGGATGTTGTTGTTGTTATTGTTGTTTTGCCATCGAGTCGGCCCCAACTCATAGCGACCCCTCCTTGGGTTTCCGAGGCAGTATCACTACGGAAGTAGGATTGCCCAACCTTCCCTCCTTCTGGTGAGCAGTCAAGTGCCTTAGGCACTATGCTACCAGAGCTCCTCCATTGGCGGATAGTTACCATTTTCAGGCAAGGTGACTGTACCTAAAGGTCATGCTGTCAACACTCCAGGAGATGGCGCCAAGTCAAGTGGTCACTGAGACCACTCCAGGCCCCAGCGGGTGCAGGGTCCATATGTTTCTAAAATGTTTTTTAAGAATACGTGTGTTACGCCATCTGATCTGCAACCTATACAACTATGAGACCAGAAGAACTAGATGGTGCCCGGTTACCACTGTCATTCACTTGGCAGGGGATCTATGTAGGATATCCTGGATAGAGAGGGAGAACAATGTGGAACAAAACTCAAAATCATTTGGAGGAAAAAAAAAAAAAAAAAAAGGTGGGGACCAGGTTTGCTGGTCCAATAGAGCCTGGTGGAACCACTGAGACTATGGCCTCTGGCTGCCCTTCAGGTCTGGAATTGAACCCACACCTGTGGTTGCCAGCCAAACAAAGTACAGGCATGTGAGTTAAACATTTACCTCAAGTAGACACACGCCCTGGAGAGAACAATCATGGGAGAAGGAGGGGCTGCTTATGCACAGGGAGACAGCTCAGGGCGCAGGAGAGTATGGAGGGATGGACACTGGGAAGTGGTAACTATGGGGAGGAAGTGGGAGGGGATCTGTTGCATTGTGGTAAACTGTGGTCAATGACATGAGACAAAGTATATGTGAACTGCTGTATGGAAAGTGAATTTGCTCTGTAAATCTTCACCCAAATCACAATAAAAAAAAAAAAAAAAAAAGAATACGTGTGTTAGGAAAAGTGTGTAAGTATAAAACGCCATCACCCCAAAGGTCAACTCCACGTAGCCACTACCCCGACCTAGAGCCAGAGTGTGACAGAACACCCACGCCTGTGTGCCCCACTCTCATCCCTCACAAGGGGACTCCACCCTGGCAACTCAACTCACACATTGTTCTTTTTTTATTTGAAATTATTTAAAATGTATAGGAAAATTACAAGGCATGAACACAGGACGGCTGTCATCCTTGACCCTGTGTTCTCCATCTTGCCTTGTTATTTACATTCATGGGTGTCCTCCCTTGGAACCACGTATAAGTTCACAGCAAACATCTCAGCCAGGGACCTCGGAATACTGCAGTGGGCACTTCCCCACAACAAAGACACTCCTTTATACAGCCTCACTGGCTGCTGTCAGGTGCTGAATCAGCTCCGACTAATAGCGATCGGACGTATGACAGAATGAAATACTGCCTGGTCACACACCATCCTCACAATCCCTGTTAAACTCGAGTCCATGACTGAAGTCACTGCGTCAATCCATCTCGTTAAGGGCCTTCCTCTTCTTTGTTGGCCTTCCACTTTACCAAGCATGATATCCCTCTCCAGGGAATGGTCCCTTCTAAGAACAGGACCGAAGTAGGTGACATGAAGTCTGGCCATTCTCGCCTTTAAGGAGCATTCTGGCTGCACTTCTTCCAGGACAACTCTGTTTGTTCTTCTGGCCGTCAACAGTGTTTTCAATATTTTGCCCCAACCCCACAAATCAAAGGCATCAGCTCTTCTTCAGTCTTCCTTATTCACTGTCCAGCTTCCACGTGCACATGAGGCAACTGAAAATACCACGGCTTGGGTCAGGTGGACCTTAGTCTTCAAAGTGACATCTTTGCCTAACACTTTAAAGAGTCTTTTTGCAGCAGATCTGCCCAGTACAATGCACCGTCTGATTTCTTGACTGCTGCTTCCATGGGTGCTGACTATCAATCCAGGTGAAATGAAATCCTGACAACTTCAATTTTTCTCCATTTATAATGATTTTGCTTATTGTGAGGATATTAATTTGATGTTTAGATATAATCCATGCTGAAAACTATAGTCTTTGATCTTCATCAGTAAGTGCTTCAAGTTGTCTTCACTTTCAGCAAGCAGAGCTGTGTCGTCTGCATTATCTCAGGGTGTTAATGAGCCTTCCTCTGATCCTGATGCCGCATTCTTCTCCATAGAGTCCAGCTTCTTGGATTATGCTCAACACAAAGATTGGGTAAGGATGAGGAAAGGATACAACCCCGATGCACACCTTTCCTGATTTTAAACCAGGCAGTGTCTCCTTGTTCTGTTCAAATGTCAGCCTTGTGGTCTATGTATGCCTCCTATACTTAGACAATCAAGCGTTCTGGAATTCCTGTTCTTCTCCGTTATCCATAATTTTCTATAATCCACACAGTCAAACGCTTTTGCATAGTCAATAAAACACAAGTAAACATCTTTCTGGTATTCTTTGCTTTCAACTAAGATCCAACTGGGAGCTCCGGTAGCGTAGTGCCTAAGGCACTTGACTGCGAACTAGAAGGCTGGCAGTCTACTTCCATAGCGACACTGCCTCAGAAACCCAAGGAAGGGTCGCTATGAGTTGGATCTGACTCGACAACATATAACAACAAAAAACAACAAGAAGATCTATCTGATATCAGCAATATCTCTTGTTCCACATCCTCTTCTGAATCCAGTTCGCATTTCTGGAAGTCACTGCTAATAATATACTGCTGCAACCATTTTTGAATTATGGACAACAAAATATTACGTGTGTATGATATTAATGATATGTTTGATAATTTGCACATTCTGTTGGATCACCTTTCTTTGGAATAGGCACAAATATTAGTCTCTTCCAGTCAGTTGGCCAGACAGCTGTCTTTCAAATTTCTTACCATAAATGAGTAAGCGTCTTCAGTGTTGTATTCATTTGTTGAAATACCTCAATGGGTATTCCGTCAATTCCTGCAGCCTCATTTTTTGCCAATGCCTTCAGTGCAGCCTCGACTTCTTCCTTTGATACCATTGGTTCTTGATCACATGCCACCTCCTGAAATGGATGGACATAGACCAGTTCTTTTTGGTAAAGTGACTCTGTGTTTTCCTTCCATCTTCTTTTGATGCTTCCTGCATCATTCAGTATTTTGCCCATAGAATCTTTCAATATTGCAACTCGAGGCTTGATTTTTCTCTTCAGTTCTTTGCGCTTGAGAAATGCCAAGCATATTCTTCCTTTAGGTTTACTAACTCCAGGTCTCTGCACATCTCGGGATAACACTTTACCCTGTCTTCCTGAACTGCCATGTGAAACCCTCTGCTCACTTGTTTTATTCCAGCGTTTCCTTCACTCACTTCAGCTGCTCTACTTTCAAGGGCAAGTTTCAGAGTCCTTCTGACACCCATTTTGGTCTTTTCTTCCTTTCCTGTCTTTTTAATGACCTTTTGCTTTGTTCATGTATGATGCTCTTGATGTCATCCCACAACTTGTCTGGTCTGTGGTCACTGGTATCCAACATGTCAAATCTCCTTCAGATGGTCTCTAAGTTCAAAGAGGGGATATAATCAAGGTCAAATTTCAGCTCTTGTGGACTTACTTTAATTTTCTTTAGCTTCAACTTGAACTTGCATGGGAGCAACGGATGGTCTGTACCACAGTCAGCTCCTGGCGTTGTCTTGGCTGAAGATATCGAGCTTCTCCATCGTCTCTTCCCACAGACAAAGTTGATCTGATTCTTGTGTATTCCATGTGGTGAACTCCACATGTGTAGCCACCATCTATGTTGCTGAAAAAAGGTATTTGCAATGAATAATTTCTATCTTGTGCAAAATTCTATCATGTGATCACTAGCATAATTTCTATCACCATGGCCATATTTTCCAACTACTGATGATTTTTCTTTGTTTCCACCTTTTGTCTTCCAATCACCAATAATTACCAGTACATCCTGACTGCATGTTTGGTCAACTGCAGACTGCAGAAGCTGATAAAAATCTTCCACTTCACCATTGTTGGCTTTGGTGGTTGGTGCAAAAATTTGAATAATAGTCGTATTAACCAGTCTTCCTTGAAGACATATAGATATTATCCTATCACTAACAGCACTGTACTCAGGATAGTCTTGAAACATCCTTTGTGATGATGAATGCCATGCCATTTCTCTTTAATTTGTCATTCCCGGTATACTAGATCATATGATTGTCTGATTCAAAATGGCCAAAACCAGTCCATTTCAGCTCACTAATGCCTAGGATATTGATCTTTATGCATTCCATTGCATTTTTGACAACTTCCAATTTTCCTAGATTCAGACTTCAACATTCCATGTTCCGGTTATTAATGGATGTCTGCAGCTGTTTCGTCCCATTTTGAGTTGGGCCACATTAGCAACTAGAGGCCCAGAAAGTTTCACTCCACCCACATCATTGAGGTCGATTCTATTCTGATGAGGCAGCTCTTTCCGAGTCACATTCTGAGTGCCTCCCAGTGTGAGGGGCTCATCTTCCGGCACTACATCAGACACTGTCTCAGAGCTACTCATCAAGTTTTCCAGCAGTATCTCAGACAGTGTTTCACTCTCTTCATAAGGTTTTCATTGGCCAGTTTTTTCAGAGGTGGATGGCCTCATCCTTGTTCCCAGTCCATCTTCGTTTGGAAGTGCTGTTGAACCCTGCCCACCAGAGATGACTCTGCTGGTATGTGGAATAGTAATGGCGTAGCCTCCAGCCTCCCAGCAACACTCAAGCCAATGCAGAATGACGGACTGACAGATGAGTGGTAGACAACCTCAGTACAACTCTAAAAACAAGGACATTAATATTGATACACTGGGCAAATCTGCTGCACAAGATCTCTTTAAAGTGTTGAAGAGCAGAGATGACACTTTACACAAAACTAAAGTGTTCCTGACCCAAGCCATGGTGATCTCAGTTGCCTCATATGCATGTGAGTGCTGGACAACAAATCAAATGAAGAAGACCAAAGAAGAGTTATGCTTTTGAGTTGTGGTGCTGGTGAAGAATGCTGACAGTACCATGGGCTGCCAAAAGAAAAAACAAATCTGTCTTGGAAGAAGTGCAGCTGGAATGCTTCTTTGAAGTGAGGAACAGCCAGGCTTCATCTCATCTACTTTGATCCTGTTCTCAGAAGGGATCATTCCCTGGAGAAGGGGATCATGCTTGGTAAAGTGGAGGGTCAGCGAGAAAGGGGAAGCCCCTCAACGAGATGGACTGATACAGTGGCTGCAACAATGGACTCGGGTACAGCAAGGATTGTGAGGGTGGCGAAAGGTTGGATAGTGCTTCCTTCTGTTGTACGTGAGGTCGCTATGAGTTGGAGCCAACTTGACAGTACCTAACAACAACAAAATGTTGGTGTGGTACTTCAATCCAACCCATAAGCCCAATTCAAATTCCACCAATTGTTCTATAAAGTACTTTGTAAATACCTGTGCCATTGTGGTCCAGGTCTGAGTGCAGGGTTATGAAACCCACTGTTGTAGAGTGGATTCTGACCCACAGCGCCCCTAGAGGACAGAGTGGAACTGCCCACAGGGTCTCTGAGGCTGTCAATCTTCACGGAAGCAAAGCCCAAACCACACCCACTGCCGTGGAGTCCATTCTGACCCACAGTGCACCTAGGGGACAGAGTGGAACTGCCCATAGGGTCTCCGGGGCTGTCAATCTTCATGGAAGCAGACTGCCTCATCTTTCTCCCCAGGAGCAGCTAGTGGGTTCCAACCACTGACCTATCAGTTAGCAGCCAAATGCTTTAACCACTGCTCCAGCAGGGCTCCTCAAGCATACTCTTAATATGTAAAAAAACAAAACAAACTAAAAAAACTAAAATGCAGCCTTTTTTTGTGTTTACACATATTTTTAAACATCCCAGAGTCATACTTTTTGAGGTACTGCAAGGGTCTTTATCCAATCACATCTCTCTGTAACTAAGATGCAAGAGGCTTTATCCAGTCACATCCCTGTAACTAAGCTGTGCTCGGAGAGAGAGGGCAGTTGGGCTGGCAGGAGCATGGGCCTGCCTCTCTCCTTGCGAAGTCCAAAGGCTCCTCACTTTGAGTGAAGCTCGTGGGACGGGGCAGGGGAACACACATTTTGGCGGGAAATGACAAGCTGCCAAACATTAAACATCCATCAGCAAAGGTCTGGTCTGTGCCCCCTCAGCATCCACAACTGCGCAGTCTGTTACCTCGTTTCTTGGCCTGGGCCACCATCTCCTCGTACTGCTGCCTGTGTTTCTGCGCCTCTTCAGCGGGCTTTGCTGGGAGATTTCTTGATAGAAAACAAAGGTTCCTATCATTACAAGTAGTGAACTGAAGTCTTTGAGGGACAAAACCTGAAGCATTATTTACTGAAAAACTATGAAGCTAAAGGGCTAATATTACATTTTCCAAAATCACAACCAGCTCCGCTTTTTCAGAAGATAGTCCCTTAAAAGTAAAAAGAAATTCATTGTGGGGAATTTGGAGCCAACAAGGCAGCAGGAAAGTAACAAGTACTCGGGACTCCAGTACATTTACCAACCGGCACCCCCATTGCCGACCGCTCCTTGTCTGCAGGAGCCCTGGCTGCACACGGCACTTACACATCAGTGTGTCTCCAGGGCAGGTTTCTAAGTCAGCTTCCCATCAGCCTCCCAACACTTCTGACTGTGTACAGAAAAGCATCCTGCACTTCAGTGTGTCTAAAGGGTGGTGCTCTGGTGGCCTAGTGCCTCAGGCACTTGACTGCTAACCAGAAGGCTAGCAGTTCAAATCCACCAGCCACTCCTCAGGAGGAAGATGGGGCAATCTACTTCCGTAGAGATACCGCCTCGGAAACCCAAGGAGGGGTTGCTATGAGGTGGACAGTTCGACAGCAGTGTTTATTTTTTTTTTATAAAGGGTGGTGTGAACCTTCAAACCCTCCTCTTTTAGAAACACAGACATGCTGGGGCACCAGCAACACTCCAGGATATCTCGGAGTGCACACCCCTCCCCAGCATACCCCTGGGGTGCCTCAGAATACGCGTCCCTGCCCGGCACACCTCTGGGTGCCTCGGAGTACACGCCCCTGCCCAGCACAGCCTGCCCCACCTGCAAGCATGGTCTGTAACCAGAGAACTGGACCTGCCCCGTCACAGGAGCCTGTAGACACAACCCCATGCCAGCAGGCGGTTCAGGACCCAGTCAACAATCACAGACCCACTTCCTGGTGTTTCCCCCAGCTCCTACCAATGGTCAGTGCAGAGGCAAAGCCACCTGGATGGACAATCTAGGCCAAACCTCGGTGCTGAAGGGCCACTTTTCACACAGGTCATTAATGTCATCAGCACACGTGTGCTAGGACTGAGGGAGCTGACACACGCCCCCCCCCCCAGTCCTCTGAATGAAGGGGCAACTAGCACGCTGCTCGCCCACTGCCAAGCCATTCCCCAGAGACTCACGCAGGCCGGTCTTCCAGGATGAGGGCAGTGGTGGACAGGGGCTCAAAGGCTAGACTTCTCCGTACGTTCTGCCTGGGGGAGGGCGGCCTGCTGGGTCGACCAGCCTTGTCTTCATTTTCCTGGAACAAAAACATGAATGAGGTCACTGGGGACAGCTCTGGTGTGACGGAACCCAATACCCCAGACCAGCCTGGATGCGACTGGGAGCATGTGTGTCAGGGTAGAACTGTGCACCACATGGGTTACAAGCGCTGACGCGTAGGGAGGAGACCACTAGGCCTTTCTCCCAAGGTGCCGCTGGGGGGACTCAAACCTCCAACCTGTCAGTGAGCTGCCGAGTGCGGGACCTCACTACCTGTCGGTGAGCTGCCGGGTGTGGGACCTCACCGTCCATAGGTGAACTGCTGAGTGTGGGACCTCACTGTCTGTCAGTGAGCTGCCAGGTGTGACCTCGTTGTCTGTCTGTGAGCTGCCGAGTGCAGACCTCACCGTTTGTTGGTGAGCTGCCGAGTGCACACCTCACCACCTGTCGGTGAGCTGCCAAGCGTGGGACCTCACCGTCTGTCGGTGGACTGCCAGGTGCAGGACCTCACCACCTGTCGGTGAACTGCCAGGTGCAGGACCTCACCACCTGTCAGTGAGCTGACAAGTGTGGGACCTCACCACCTGTTGGTGAACTGCCAGGTGCGGGACCTCACCACCTGTCGGTGAACTGCCAGGTGTGGTACCTCACCACCTGTTGGTGGACTGCCAGGTGCAGGACCTCACCACCTGTCGGTGAGCTGCCCAGTGCGGGACCTCACCACCTCTTGGTGGACTGCCAGGTGCAGGACCTCACCACCTGTCAGTGAGCTGACGAGTGTGGGACCTCACCACCTGTTGGTGAACTGCCAGGTGCGGGACCTCACCACCTGTCGGTGAGCTGCCAAGCGTGGGACCTCACCGTCTGTTGGTGAACTGCCAGGTGTGGAACCTCACCACTGGAGAATGAAGCCACCTCAGTCAAGGTGTTTGTTAACTGAAGTCTGTAGAGTTGGTTTGGAGGATAGTCAGTAGAAGGAACTGCCTGCTGGCTACCTTCCGTGCCCCTGTGCAGCCACACACCCACCTCAGTCCCCTGTGCTTCACTGGGTACATCTCCGGGTACAAGGAGGGATGTGTGTCTCCACACCCCAGCTCACTTCCTCACTAGTCACGCCCAGTCTACCCCCTCACCCACTCCTTACATCCTATGGCACTGTGTACAACCTGTCAGCAACTCCAATCTTTTTTGAAACAAGAGAAGAGTCAGAAGTCCTTTGCATGCAGATGACTGAAATCGCCTCATTTTCTCAAAGCAAGAACACATAAGAAATTCCTCCATGTTACCAAACAGTCCCTGTCCAGGAAATCCAGGCTCAGCCCATGTCGCTGGGTCACTAGCTTGCTCCAAGCACTCCAAACACTCGGGCTCTGTCACACCCAGTGCCCAGAGTCCAGGCACTCACTGGGGCTGAGGGAGCTAGCTCCCTCATACAACTCTGCTAAAGGATCAATCAGAAAAAAGACCAAAACAAAATGAAGAAAGCCTAAGAATCACATCAGACACCATCAAGAGGAATAACCTACATGCAATAACCTTTTCAGAACAGGAAGAGATAAATAAAACCACAGAGAAAATTGTCAAAGATTTGTTGGAGAAGAATTCCGTGATATGATGAAAGACAAGAATATATCCATTCAAGAAGTTTAAGGAACCCCAAACAGGATAGACCCCAAAAGAAGATCACCAAGACACATCATAATCAAATTCACCAAAACCAAAGACAAAGAAAATATCCTGAAAACAGCACATGAAAAACAAAAAGTTACCCACAAAGGGCAACCAATAACACTAAGCTCTGATTTCTTGGCAGAAACTACGCAGGTGAGAAGGCAAAGGAATGATACATACAAAAACCTGAAAGAAAAAAAATTGCCAACAAAGAATTATATACCCAGAAAAACTGTCCCTCAAATGGGAGCGTGAAATTAGGACATTTCCATATGAACAGACATTAAGGGGATTTGTTAAACTACAAACTTACAAGAGATGCAAAAGGGAGTCCTTCACACAGAGAACCAACAACAGCAGACAACAACCAATGATTTATACACATGATGAAACCCAGAAATTAACATACTTACAGAAGTATCCAAACTAAAACTATCTTACAAGACTGTAAACAGGGAACTAGAGACATCAATCGGTAAATGAAGACAACTACAAACCAAAAAGCAGGAATAAACAGCCTAAGTATAGAACTTCCAAATGGTTTGTAAGTCAAAGCAACTGCTAGATAGAACAGACTGTTCTAAACTTGGGAAGACAATTATAAATCACAAGTTGACTTCAAAGGAAAGTAATAAACCTTCAAATCAAAATAAAAAAAGGGAGACGTAAAAATATTTAGTAAACACTAAAACAACAGCAATGACAGAAATGATAAAAAAAATTCATAAGCAGAGTAAGATCAGCACAGAAAATTATATGGAACAAAGAAATCAGCAACGCCACAAAAAAACACATAACAAATGACAGCAATAAATTCATACTTGTCAATAATTACACTGACTGTAAATGGATTAAATGCACCACTCAAGAGACAGAGCATTGCAGACTGGATAAGAAAACATAACCCATCAATATACTGTCTACAAAAGACTCATCTTAGACACAAAATAGACTACAAATCAAAGGTTGGAAAAAGATATATAAAGCAAATGGCAATAAAAAAAAAAGAGCAGGAGTGGCAATATTAATTTCTGATACAATAGACTTTCAGACAAAAACTACCATAAGAGACAAGGAAGGACATTATATAAAGATTAAATGACAGCTGAACAAGGGGACATAATCATAATAAATATCTACACACCCAATAAAAGAGCCCCAAAATACATAAATCAGACTCTAACAGAATTGAAAAGACAAACAGATGACTCCACAGTGATAGCTGCTGTTGTTGTTAGGTGCTACTGAGTCAGCTCCGACTCATAGTGACCCTCTGTACAACAGTTCTGTGCCAGCCTCACAATCCTCGCTGTACCTGAGCCCATCTGTGATAGGCAGAGCTGTGTGTCAACTTGGTTGAACCACGATTCTGAGTGGTTCAGGCAGATGTCATGTGGTTATTCCCACGATGAGATCTGATGTATATACTTTGAGTACCCAATCAGCTGAAAGGGAGTTTCCTTAGGGGTATGGCCTGCTTCCTTTATATATATATATGTATATATACAGATGTCCTGGGAAAACTCAGGAACCTTCTGTGAATATAGATCCTGCTGTACTCCCTAAAACTGTCCTGTGAGTGAACAATCCACCATTTTGCCTGGTGACATTGGATTCATCATCTGCCAAAGTGAACCGCTGTTACACTGCCTGCTAACCTTGAGTTCATCAGCCCCTGCAGCTGTGTGAGTTGAGAAAAGCCTTGTGGTAGCTAAGGTTGTATGTCACCTTGGCTGGACCTGGTTGAATGGCTGGGCAGCTGGTGGTAGTTATTCCCCATGATGAGACTGGTCATCAACTCCATGGTGGCAACTACCACAAACAGCTGAGTAGCTGCTTTAGAGACGTGGTCTGCTTCCCGTGTATAAGCAGCAGCTTTGGGAATGGTCTCCAGCTTATGGCACACTTGAACCCCGCAAGTAGCCGGGCTGTTGTTCTGCAGCCTGCCATGCTCTGCTGACCTTGGGACTTTCAATGGACTTGAATCAAAGGCCTGTCATGTGGTTTGGTAACATTGGGACTGTGCCTTTATTACCTGTCAACCTTGGGCTTGTCAGCCTCAGCAGCCAGAAGCTGTCTGAGTGAAGAAAAGCCTCCAGCTTCAGTGGGCCAGGAGCAGGAGACAGAGCTGAAGCCCAAGGTTGTGGAGCTTTCACCCAGCCCCTCGAGCCTGGCAGTTTGAACTTGGACTTAAAGCTTCCAAACTGTAAGAGAATAAACTCCTGTTTGTTAAAGCCATCCCATTTGTGGTATATTCCTGTCAGAGCAGCACTAGGTAATCAAAACAAGCCTCCAGCTTGACTTTTGATCCAGAAACTTGGGAATTGCCAGCCTCTACAATTGTGTGAGTCAATTTCCTAAGATAAATTTCTTTTTTTTTTCTTTTGCTTCTCTAGAGAACCCAGTCTAACACACCATCATTGCAGCCACTGTGTCAATCCACCTTGTTGAGGGCCTTCCCCTTTTTCATTGACCCTTCACTTTACCAAGCATGATATCCTTCTCCAGGGAATGGTTCCTTCTGACAACATGACCAAAGTAGATGAGATGCAGTCTAGCCATTCTTGCTTCCAAGGAGCATTCTGGCTGCGGTTCTTCCAGGGCACATTTGTTTGTTCTTCTCCAACACCACACCTCAAAAGTATGAACTCTTCTTCGGTCTTCCTTGGTCATTGTTCATTCACAGTAATAGTATATACCACCATCAATAAAAGATGGAACAACTGTAAAGAAACTCAACAAAGACAACCTGACCTTGTAGACACCTACAGAGCACTTCACCCAACAACAAGTGAAATATACATGTTTTTTCAGCACATTGAACATTCTCCAGGATAGACCATATGTTAGGCCACAACGCAAGCCTTAATACATTTTAAAACACCAAAATACTGCAAAGAATCTTCTCAGATCACCATGCTATAAAATCTGAAATCAACACCAAGAAGATCAACAGAAAAAGAGCAAACACATAGAAACTAAATAACACCCTCCTTAAAAACAAGTAGGTAAGAGAAGAAATAAAAAATAAAATAAAATAATTCCTTGAATCAAATGGTTATGAAAATATAAACATACCAAAATCTTTGGGACATATCAAAAGCAGTGATCAGAGGGCAATTTATAGCAATAGATGCACACATCAAAAAGAAGAGCGAGCCAAAACCAACACTTTAACCCAACATCTCCAACAATTACAAAAAGAGCAGCAAAAAAACCCCTACAGTTATCAGAAGAAATAAATGTAACAAAAAACAGACAATAAAAAAACCCCACAACACTAGAAGTTGGTTCTTTGAAAAGATTAATAAAATCAACAAACCACTGGCAAACTTAACAAAGGAAAAGAAGAAGATGTAAATAAGA